TTCAGTATGAAAATGACTTCTGTCAGCGCTTCTGTGTCCCAGCCTCCTATGCTATCCGACGGCGTTTCAGGGTCTCGGCCGGCTCTTCTGCCAGACCGCACTTACGGATCCCGGCTTCCTCCACCACCTGAACGTAGCTGTGGGTATCTGGACCCGCTCCTCCTGCTGCTGCTCGATAATGCCGCCAAGGCTGCTGTCACAAATGGCAGGGAGAGAGAGGGGAAGGAGCTCTCTCTCTCTCTTCAGCATTTACCACGTATTGCCAATGCATATATGATGAATGATGTCACTGGGGATCCCTGCTGATCGGATGCTTGCCAGTCTGCAGGGATACCCAGTGACATAATTCACCAAATATGGACTGACTGTGCTGTACACTACACGTGTCGTGAAGTAGGCGGGACAGATGAGGAGGAGGGAGGGGATCAAGAGCTACACATCAGCTGTCTTGAAGGCTGGCACACGGGGACGTGCAGATAAGAAGAGAGCTGCTGCGCATGTCCATATATTCGTGGACGCGCAGCAGCTCTCAAGAATCACTGTCAGTCACAGTGAGGAAGATCAGTGGGGAGGATCCCGTCAGACACGTCGGGATGTCTCCTCATTGCGGCGCTTAGCCCCGCCCACCACCTTAAATTAGGTTTTACAGCCTTATTGCGCATTTTGGCTAATTAGAGTAAATTACATAATTTACTTATTTAGCCTAAGGAATGCATTAATAAAGAAAAGATAGAACCCCATAGTTCTCCTTTAAGAAAGGACTGTGCTATGAATAGGGTTGTTACGTTTTCTTTAAGCTAAACCCGAACACTTTTCTTCAGAGAAAATACAGAAGAGAGCGAAGGTAGACAGCCAGGAGAGACAGCCAGGAGGATGGGCGAGGAGAGACAGACAGGAGGATGAGCGAGGGGAGACAGCCAGGAGAGATAGCGAGGAGAGACAGCCAGGGGAGAGAGTGAGGAGAGATAGTTGCATTGCAGCACGGTGAGAAAAAAGTAGTTCATGCTCTACTTTTTCCATGCATGGTATTGTGGTACCCTATGTCTGCTGGGTTGGGGTGCCATTGAAATGAATTGCAGTACAACACACCAAGCACAGGGTACCACATGCTAGGGGAATTGTGCGATAGCATGTGCCAAGTGCACACTAATGTACGATTAACACAATGCGTAGTGTGAGTGGACCCTTAACGTTTGCAGTGCGGGCAGTAGTCCTACTGCAAGGGTATTTTTTTATGACTTCTTTAATGAGTCATGCCTTAGCAAATGACCCATGACTCTGGTCCACAGAGCCCCACCAGCACAGCCGTTGCCATGGTAACCCCACCCAGCCACACCTCTGACCTTGGGTCTGTTTTTCTGCTTACTCTGATCAGGAATTTGGCAATAACAAGCATGAGGGGGGCGGTTGTGAGGGAGACAAGACCCGCCTGAAACAGCTGCTCATTCAGAGGCAATTCAATGCTGATGGCTCCTGGATGCATCTGTTACATTCTAGAACATTCTATAGATGCCCAATATTAGGAGATGACCTACTGCTACAGCTCCATGCTGTGAACATTGCAGAAGGCAGTAACAGTCAGATCTAGGTAAGGATGCATCTATCATGTGAGAGGGGGAAGCTGTTAATACATGTGAGAGGGGGAAGCTGTTGATACATGAAAGTACATGTATCCTTTAAATCTGACTCTGGGCTCAATAAAAACCACTTGATATCACTGTGCACTCCCTCATATGTCCTGTTTGGTTCAACATTCTTTATCCCTTGCCCATCCAAAAGTCTTCCTGTTTTTAGCCTCTACCATAGATGCCCATGCCTATTCGTCTGTTTTCAGACTAGCACCCTTTTTCCTAAATTCAATCTGCACTAAAATTCCACCCCTATCTCCTCACAATGGACTACAGATTTTAATGCATTTTTTTGCAGTGACAGTGCTGTTTCCAGGCAATGCAACAACATTAATCTCCAAGAGTGTCAAGCAAGGACTGAATACTAGTGCAATGCTCCTACCTCTATTTATTACAGGTATTTATTTTTAGTGCAGTCAATTTACGCAGCACTTTACATATTCACATTAGTCCCTGCCCTCAAGAAGATTACAATCTTAGGTACCAATCTCACATGCATACAGGGCCATGTAACCTACCAGCATGTCTTTGGAGTGTGAGGATACCGGACTACCCAGAGGAAACCCACGCAAGCACAGGGAGAACATGCAAACTACTTGTAGATAGTATTTCTGACCTGGATTTGAACTGGGGACCTCCAGTGCTGCAAGGCAGAAGTGTTAGCCACTATGCCAATGAGCTGCATGTATTATTCTTTTTGTGATATTAATTTGTTGCTGTCATTTTGTATATTGATAATATGGTGGTGCTTCAAAAGAGTTCTAGGAACTGTAGTCCCAGAGTGGCAATGAACAGCACAGATCCTGTATAAAGTGGGCAGCTGAACACAAAGGATTTGGGTCCTAGTATAATAGATAGGGGACGGCTATACATGTTCTTGGCTTACCTGAAATTTAGCTTTAAAGAGAGAAGAGTTACAATTAATTTAAGTTTTTTACATAGTTACATAGGATTTGTATCCTAGTGTAATAGATAGGGGACAGCTATACATGTTTTGGATTGACTGGAGTTTAGCTTTATAGAGAGAAGAGTTCACAATTCATTTACATTTTTATTTCGGTGTTTTTAATTTATGTACCAGAAAATGCAGGCTAAGCTGTCAGTGATATTTATTAAAACAAGGATTATAAGTGGAGTATTTAGCCTTAGGGGACATAAAACACTTGGCTTTATCCTTTTTGTCATGTAACATCTGCAGATAGAGTTAACTGACAGCAACTTAACACCTGCTGCACGATCTCCTTCAACAAAAGTGTTCCCTTGTATAGCTGGCGGGGGTCTGCTAATCTGTTAGCCCATGGGGGAACTACTAAAATATCATTATACCAGGATAGAAATCCCACTGATAAGAATCTCTAATCTCACAAAAACTCTTTTTTCTTATATCAGACAGATATTACTTGACCCTAACAGGTAACTCTAAAGTATACCGCCATGTATAAAATAAGGGAGGATTGTGAATGAACACTGCAGTATTTAAATATCCCTTTATGTGCATGATTCTACAATCCTAAGCATTTATTAAAGATGAGATCAGCGTGCTTCATTGAGGCCTAATATACCTGATCGCTGCTCATATAAACCCCATGCCTGCTTGTGGAGAGAATGCTTCCTATGGGGCGACAGATGGACACATTAGGCAGCAGTAGGCTTCTGTTTTGTACAGTCTTGAGCATTAAGTGTTATGCCTAACAAAAGTAAATAGCAAGCTGGCTTTACTTAGTTAAAGGTGACATTTTTATACTTTAGAAACCACACTTGGATTGTATGGCCTACAGTTTATTCTAGCAGGATCAAATAGATAGACACTGGTAATGGGAAAGGAAATCTTTCCAATGAGTGTGTGCACTCCCATTTATATAGTGTATCACCTAAACATCAGCAGAATACCTGTGTTCCAGTCAAGTTTAAAAAAAACAAACCCAAAAATAAAAATAAAAAAGGCAGCTTTTGCTGCAATATTTACCTGCAATCCAGAGCCCCCCTCAGTAATTCCACTAGATGTCGCCAATCTTCCATGTTGAATGACTGCCAGAAATCACATTGGTTTAACCAAGTAAAATGAAGTGCTGCAATGATGAAAGAGGCTGTTCATGCTGGGAAAAATACAAATTCTTAATTCTAGTAACAGAAAGAGAAGAAGTCTTGAATCTGAGTATGAAACTGCTCAATAACAGTGGGCTACCAGACAAGAATATTCAACAGCTGAAGCTTCTTGACCTAGCCATGGATTCATGCATCAGTCTTGGCATGTGGGAGGAAGCCTTGAAGTTTGGTTTACGAACGTTGAACCCTTACGGGTAAGTGATTTTTAAATTCTGATGAATGGCCAAACTGCAACAGGTCATAGATTGGCAGCTAGCATTTCTAGAAGGAGAGGTCAGCAAGAGCAACCTACATATTTTCACAGCACGAGTTTCCTTTAAGCATTCTCAAAATGATAAAATATATTGTTTCCTTTGCAAGCCAATTGCAGACAAGATATGTATTAATTGATGCTCCTTCTATAATGATTCCTCAATAGATATCAGAATTCTCATCAATAATGCTCTTAGGTTTTTGTAATGAAAAGTTCAAAGAGTTTTTACCCCATGTGTGGCGCTCAAAAAAGGTGGGATGAGTGGTGGTACTTGGTGGGTACCACGTTCGTGAATGGAGCGTGGGGGAATTTTTAAGGAGAGAGTTTGAAGGAGGGGGGGGGGGGGGTGTGGGTTTTTAATTTTGTAGAAAAATGGGAGCGTCTTTTTTGCTCTGCGGGTGTGCAGCTTCCGTGGTGTTCGGACCGTGGTGTCCAACAGGTGTACTAAAGGAAACAAAAATTGGAGAACGGAAGCGCCACTACCTGGCGCAATAAATGTGGTGAGGCCTGGTGAGAGGGATAAGTAATGTACTCACCTATGGTAGGTGGATCATTCGCTTTTAGGACGGCCGTCAGATGGAATGGAGCAGTTGCGGGAGACGGTCCTTCTTGGGATGGGTGGTGTAGTGGTGTGACACAAAAAACAGGAAGGTAAGATGAGGGAGGTGAGCACAAGAAAGGAGAGATTTTGTAACTCTGTAGATCTAACCATCTATTACCTTTACTTTGGATATTCTTCCTGTTGATTTCCCCTTTTCCCTTCCCCCCTCAATAACCAACTATTTTTCACCACCTATCCCATTAGCTGCTATCACAACAGCAGCTATCTGAAAGCTATTCTATAGGCCTGTCACTTTAATTGACCTGGCCTCGGTACATCCGCAAACGACGCCCACTATCCCTTCAGTCCTATCTCTGACTCGGGACTCAGTACGAACAGATTTCCTGAAACACCAATCAATCTTGAATTCCAGCACGCCCACTTGTCCTTAGCCCAACCTCTCAGCTTCGGCTTATTCAATCTCATCTCATTCCCAGACCTTAGCCACCCCCCCTTATTCTCGGCCTATCACAATCCATCAACTCCGCCCACACACCAGGGCCCCTCCCCACCCCAACACATAAAAACTCTGTTTTTCCCGCCAACGCCGTCTTGATCAGCTCTGACATATCGGCTTGAAAAATAAGGTATTGCCTTCGAAACGCGTCGCCAGCACGAACCCAGGACCCACTGAGTGTTTGAAACACTCCATCTCTCCACCGAGCCAAAACTATTCCTGACCCTTGGGCTCCGCCCCCTCTGCCTCTCCACACCTCTGCACCGTCATCGGAAGCCGACAGTCTGAGGACACAGACTCGCCGGACTATCAGGAGGACCCAGCGTTCATCCACCTCTGCCTCCACCTCGGATCCTCACCCCCCTTCCAGCAGGCATATCAGGAGGGCCATCACAACACCTCGGCATCCACACTACCCTCCAGCACCGCGTCTCTACACACCGCCGGACACCGCAGATGTCCAGCAGGACCGCCACGCCAGCACCCATCCATAGGATTATCCTGCAGCCTTCTACAAGAGCCCACATCTGTCGTTGAGAGCCAGCTTTTACTTTCCTCGCGGTGAGTTACAAAATCTCTCCTTTCTTGTGCTTACCTCCCTCATCTTACCTTCCTGTTTTTTGTGTCGCACCACTACACCACCCATCCCAAGAAGGACCGTCTCCCGCACCTGCTCCATTCCATCTGACGGCCGTCCTAAAAGCGAATGATCCACCTACCATAGGTGAGTACATTACTTATCCCTCTCACCAGGCCTCACCACATTTATTGCGCCAGGTAGTGGCGCTTCCGTTCTCCAATTTTTGTTTCCTTTAGGTTTTTGTAATGCAAGCTTTTATTTTTTTTTCAATCAACGCTTCCCTATATGCTGCTTGAGCTTGTCTGTATATGCAGATATCTGGATTGTCGTATCCTCAGCAATAACTTTGAAGGCAGTACCTGAATCCTGCTGGCATAGGCAACTGCAGTGCTAGCTTGAAAAGTGTCTTAGGGAACTGGGTCCTGCATTGTGATGCTTTCCAGACCTGAGTGTACTGTTTTAGTAAACACTTCTCTCATCCAGAGCTGTGGCATGACCTCTGATGTGACCCAATCTCTGACAAATTATTTTGTGAGTAGGCCATGTAGGCAAAGCTCAAAGAGTTACCTACTAGGACTGTTGGACACCTTTATTATCCCTATTTTCGGTTGTTTTACATAAAAAGGGTTCACTCTAAAGCAGGGGTGGCAAACTCAAATTCATCGGGGGCCGCATCAGCAGTATGGTTACCCTCAAAGGGCCGGTTGTATAGGACTATGCATCTACTCTTTATTATCATAAATAGTTGCCTCTGCATTCAGTTGCTACTGGTGATATGGAATTGATAAAGTGATATGGAATTGGTCAGTATATCCGAAGTTTACTGCTCCACCTGCCATGGTATGTAACCATTGCAGTGCTGTAAAGGGCAGGTGCAGACCAGCATGGAGCCCACTCACACTTCTGTAGCAGGTGATGTAAATTTGAAAAAGAGGGTCACACATCACTGGTAACATCCACAAGAAAATTATTGGAGACTGCTCAGACCGAACACCATGGTGTCCTCAATAAAGTTCTCCTGTGGACGATACCAGCAGTCTGCAACCCTCCTTTTCAACTGGCATGGAATTAAATTATTCTCATAATAATTATAAGCAGACATCTAGAGCACCCCACTCCCAATACAGCAGATGTCAAGAGCCCTCCCACCATCAAAAGTACGCTACGTACACAGTGCAGGGGTCAGGATTGCGCCTAAAAATTCCTCACATCTGTACTCTCCCCTACCTTCCTACCTGGACCAGCTCTTGTACCTCCCTGTATAGGCGGCTCCCTCCCTTTGTATTGGGCTATAGTACCTTTTTTTTTATTGGGCTATAGTGGTACCATCCCTCTGTGGGTGGATCTCCTGTGTTATCAGTACTTTGCGTTTTTCCCCCCATCCAGCCCGCTGGATGGGGGAAAAAAACTGCCCAAAAAACTGCCAGCAATCTCTGCCACTATGAACATTCTTTTTTTTCCATCAAGTAAACATATAAAGTATCAATATGTTAAACTTTTACTTTTATCCAGCAGAGGGAGCTCAAAGCTCATATTACCATGTTCTATGGGCTAGGCTATCCTTAGCTGCTCTAAGGACAAAAGCCATGTTTACAGTACTTTAAGTTAAAATATACACACACCAGTGTATGAGCCAGAGCAGTGACACATACTGTATGTCTTAATCCACCCCAGGCTCTGTTCAGGATTTCACTCAGGGATGGTCCCGATCAGGGCCGGCCTTAGGCCTTTAGGCGCCCTGTGCGAGAAAGCTTTACAGCTTTACAGCGCCCCTCAGTGACCACACCCCTCAGTGGCCACACCCTTTAGTGGCCACACCCCCAGTAACCACACCCATTTATCACTCATATTTTCCATCCTGACAGCTGCGGGCACGGCTTCTCTCCCCCTCACCGCTCCGCCATCCTGAAAGCAGGCAGCGCTGTGCGGGCCACATTACAAGGTCCGGCGGGCCGGATTCGGCCCGCGGGCCTTTTGTTTGCCACCCCTGCTCTAAAGGATTGAGTGATTTAGTTAAGGGGCGTGCCACACACATGTGCATGCTCTGTGCTCTTGTTCCCGCCAATTCAGCGTGAGATATCATGCTCTGCTACTGTTCTTAGTTGCAAGTGACACTGGTATCTTTTTTAGTTGGTTTTTGATGTGAATGACCTGAATCTCTCCTGCTTCTACCAGCTCGTTCATGAGTACCCAAGGTTTAACCTTATACTCTGAGCTACATCGTCCCTGCCTTGCAGCAAATCATCTCAGACACACGGAGAGCAATCCTGCTATAATGGGCCCTTCCAGCTCTGGATCCACTTACGGCTCTGGTGCTGCCTGCAGTGCACACCAGTCCCTACTGTAGAAGTTTCGGAGTTTACTCCTAAATTTTTCAGTCCCAAATTGAAAAGGGGTATAGGGCCCATTTTTAATCCCATGACATGCCTTAATTCTGATCCAAAAAATCCACATGGAATCCACCAGGCAGTTCCTGGACCCTAGGTACCCAGAGGTGTTCTTGGAGCGGTGCACTAGATGAGGGACCAGATGTGAGCCTCCTAGCATTAAGGTTCAACCACAAACTAAACAGGTTTGCCTCCATTTCAAGAGATCTTTTGGTGGCTCTGGAGGTGGATGCTCTGGTGGTTCTGGTGGTAGGATTAGTACAACATGATCTATGTTTTTCCTCCCTTGAAACCCCTTTCTCATCTGCTCTGCAGGATCGAGTTGGAGGCTATTCAGATGATACTCACAGCTTCAGATTGGTCCAGATATATGTGATAATTTGACCTGATCAGACACCTGGCAGATGCTCCATAGGCTCTTCCAGACCATGGGGACCTTCTGTCAAAGGAGTGATTGAACGCCCTGCTCCACGCTTACTGGATTTAGGTTGCTTTTGATGGCCAAGTCTTGAGACACAGGGGTATCTCTAAATCTGTGATTTCCACAATGCTAAAGGCCTGGAAGTCTACTTCCCACAAGGTCTCCTATCACACATGTAAAGCATACTTCACTTGGTGTGAGGAAAGATCACACCAGGAATCCCGGTCTTTAATTAAGACCTTTGTTTAGGGTGTTTCACATGTAGTTCCCTCTGTGTTTCACATTGAGATCTGTTTGGTACTTTCAGCTCTTCAAAAATTGCCTTTTAAACCTATCAGGAATATTCCTCTTTCCGCTTTTATTCACAAGGTTGCCTTGCTTGTCACCATCACCTCTGTGAGGCTTGTTTCTTAGCAGGTGGCCTTGTCCTGCAAAGATTGTTTTTCATAAGGTCAAGATAGTGTTAAGGCCTAAAACCTCCTTCCTTCCCAAGGT